CCCCCCCCCACTTTTCTGAGAAACCCCCAGCTGCATGAGTGCAGGCAGGTGTAAGGGATGCGGTCTGATCATGGGAACTCAGCTGGCTTCCTCCGAATCGGATGAGTAAGAGCTGTTGAGACGAAGCCGGAGCGAGCTGCCGGGCATTGCCATGGCCGCGGTTCCTCGGAAGAGCACCGAGGACAGTGGGCTCTGCCTTGTGGGTGTCTCTGTTTGTTGTGTGTTGGCTTCCTCTGCAAGCGGGTGCCGTTACCCAGAAATGACCCGGGTAGCCCAACCAGCTTTCTCCCCCACCCCACCAATCAAGCGTGGGAGACGCTGTGCATGAAAATGCGCGTTCCTGTAGCAGAAACCTTAATCCCCGCGCGTTCAATTCAGGGGTTGGATTTAGATTCGGACTGATTTTTTACTCATTTTTTAAAATTTATTTTAGTTTTTTTTTATATGGCCGCCCATCTGAGCAAGGGACACCGGAGGGCGAATTGTCTTAAAACAAAAAGGCGGCTTTGTTTTTGTTTTTTTGTTTTGTTTTCATTTTCATTTCTTGCACTTTTTCTAAAATTTTCTTTCTTTCCTTTTTTCTTACTTAATGCTACATTGGTTTGCATGACTTTTTTAAAATCCGTTTTAAAAGGTTTGGTAAAAATTCTAGACGGGTCTGGGCGTATCGAGGCTCATCTGGTGTGTGTGTGTGTGTGTGTGTGTGTGTTTGTGTGTGTGTATGCGTGTGTAAATAAGCCCTTTACAGAAAAACCCAGGGGCTTTAACTGAATAAATTTAGCTGCCATTAAGGCACCAGGCTAGAAAGTGAAAGATTGTGAGTTCTAGTTCTGCCATAGGCATGAAAAACATATGAGTGTCTTTGGGCCAATCATCAGGAGATGGTGAGTTCTAGTCCCACCTTAGGCATGGAAGCCGACTGGGTAACTTTGGCCCAATTACCAGGAGACAGTAAATTCTAGTCCTACCTTAGACATGAAAGCTGATTGGGTGACTTTGGGTCAATAATCAGGAGGCTGTGAATTCTAGTCCTTTCTTATGCACAAAAAAGCCAGCTGGGTGACTTTGGGCCAGTCCCTTTCTCTCAGCCCAAGCCACCTCACAGGGTTGTTGTTTTAGGGAAAATAGAAGGGAGGAAGTTGGGCTGGATATATTCCCCTCCTTGAGTTAATTTTAGAAATAATAAACATAGGAAAGGAAGGAAGGAAGGAAGGAAGGAAGGAAGAAAGAAAGAAAGAAAGAAAGAAAGAAAGAAAGAAAGAAAGAAAGAAAGAAAGAAAGAAAGAAAGAAGAAAGAAAGAAAGAAAGAAAGAAAGAAAGAAAGAAAGAAAGAAAGAAAGAAAGAAAGAAAGAAAGAAAGAAAGAAAGAAAGAAAGAAATATTAATAATTCCATGTATTCTCTGGCGGTGATCAATCCCTTTTCTTACCCCCCCTTCCAGACTCCTTTACACTTGGCAGTTATCATAGCTCAGCCTTCCCTGGTGAAACTCCTACTGTCTCACGGAGCATCTCCCATGGTGCTGGACCGGCATGGACAATCTGCTCTCCATCTGGCTTGTGAACACAGCAGCCTCCGGTGCCTGCAGGAGTTGTTGGAGGGAAATCCAGCCACACTGGATCTCGAGGCCCGGAATTTCGAGGGTGAGCGAGGGAGACCTAATCGGTTGACATGACGAAATAAGATCGTCGAAAAATTCCAGACGATTTAAAGAGTTTGTAGCAGAGTCCTCGAATTATAACCTTTCGTTTACTGACTGGTACTGAAAGAAAGGACTTTATGATCCGTCTTCACACTGAACAATCCTCATAGCATCCCCTGTAACCGTGCGATCAAAAATTGGGCACATGTATTTATAACCAATGCAGCTGAAGGGATTCTGGTAGTGACCCCCATTTAAATCATGAGTCTCGAGCCAAACTTCCAAAACTTCGAAAGGATTTATTGGGAGTTAAAATGTCCGGCACTGCCTGGGTGTAGCCAACTCTGAGACACATAATTCATTGTCACCCTTCACCCTGGTTTTTCCCCACCCCCTGGGTGTATCATAATTCATATTCTCCAACTAGACACATCCATAACCCAGAGTCATCAGTCATGTTCTCCAGTTAGATATTTGCCCAGCAGAAACTTCAGTCACCTAGTTACTATCTTTGAAAAACTATTTAGGGAATGCACTTTTGATTTCCAAGCTGCCGCACTTGCTCTTTCAAACCCCTTCCTCCCCCCGATTTCTGTTAGCAACTCTAAAAAGACCATGGAAATATTTTATGAGTTGACAACAGCATCTTTTGGTCACGTGATCGCCATTTGCAGCCTTCCCAGCCAATGAGCAAGTCAAGGTGGGCGGAGCCATATTTGCTTAAGGACCGTGTGATTCGTTTCGCAACGGTAGCAAAAAAAGGTCACAAAATGGCGTGGGACTCACTCAATAACTGCCTTGCTTAGCAATTGACATTTGAGTCCCTTTTCTGGTAAGACCTCGACTTACAGCAGTTCCTTTAGGGACCTTTTAAAGTTACACTGCTGAAAAAAAGCGGCTTATGAGCATTTTTCACACGACAGTTGTAACATCCTCCTAGTCGTGTGATCAAAATTCAGGTGCTTGGCAACTGATTCATATTTATGACAGTTGTAGTTTCCCGGGGTCATGTGATCTCTTTTTATGACCTTCTAACCAACAGGGAAGCCAGCTTCACTTAACAACCGTGTTCCTAACTTCACAACTGCAATGATTCCCTTAGCAACTATAGCAAGAAATGGAGTCAAACTCGCTTAGCAACAGAAAGGTTGGGCTTATTTGTGGTCATTAAGTCGAGGGCTGCCTGTATTTGGAATCATTGACGAAATGGCAAATGGGCAAGAACTGTTTTTCGTTTTTGAAATGTCCCTATTGTGTTCCCCCTTGTTGTCTTCGAATAGGTTTTACCCCGTTGCATTTAGCTGTTGCATCTTTAAATCGTGACATTGTTCTTGCTTTGCTGGATCACGGGGCAGATGTAGATGCTGTGGTAAGTATGGAGTTCAAGAGGTTATTGTCAAGCGCCCGGGAAGTCAGGAGATTCAGGCAGTTCAATGAGTATAAAGATTTATTGCAAGTTCTCGACAAGAATTTGGCCAACTGGCGGTTAAGGGAAATGAGAGGGAAATAAGAGAGGCATTCAAGGTGGGCTGGACTTAGATCTGTTACCTGGACACGCAGGGACTGGTGACTTATGACACGTTTGACGCCTCCCTCAGGCTCAGCCTGGTCATCTCTTACAGATATTGGGTATTGTTCATTTTGATGGTGTGGGAAGGAAGAAATGAGCTGAGAGAAACTGCACAAAAACTCCACTAATCTCTGTGATTGATTACAAGCCATGAATGATTAAAGGATGAAATGGAGGGACCTGTTAGAGAACCGTAAAGTTACATGATATTTTGCGTGTATTTGCTTCAGTGAAACTCGGGATGGTTAAATGAAACTCGGGAGGTGTTCTGATTAATGGGAAAGTTTGTTTTACAAAAGTAAACAAAAAGAACTTTAAATGAATAAGCAGAGGAAAAATTCCGGGAGACGGGTTGTGGTATAGGATGATACAATTTTAAACAACTGACTGGTGGAGGATTGGAATTTTTAAAAGGAATGTTTGAGTAGATGTAGGAAAGGACAAGGAGGAAAACAGACCAAAAAAGGCCCAAGCTAGAGTTGAGTGGCTATATTTTGTTATGATGCCATCTTACTTTGATACATTTTTTTATGAAGAGTTAATGAATTTGCAATAAAGTTACACTCTTTCCCTTCAAGTTAGCTCTTCATTTTTGTTATGTTTGGCTACCTGCAAACTTGCATCTTGCACTAGTACAACAGTGCATAATACAACAGAATTCCATTGGAATAAAGCAAAATTATTATGTTTTTCCATGAGAACTTAAGTGGCCCTAATACGTTGCCTGTTTCAGAGTTACTGGTTCCCCATAGTGTTCCCCAATGTTTCTATGGGAATTCAGACTTCAGACCTTTGGATAATTTTTTGATGAGGAGTTAATGAATTTGAAATAAATTGTTAGTGTGCATGTTTGGGAGTTTACTGTACAACAGAATTACATTATAGCAAAATTATTGTTTTTCCCCATGAGAATTTAAGCCTCATACATTATCTATTTCAAAGTTATTGGTTTCCAACAGTGTTCCCCACTGTATGGGAATTCAGACTTCAGAGCATCATAGAAGACTGTGCTAATATTAACTACTGTTTTTTAAAGAGTAAATGGAGAAAAGGGAAAGAATAATGGTTTCGGAATTGTAAATTTAATTAATGTTCCCAACCTAATGCCAGTTGTAACCAACCCTTATTGACTCTTGTTTTTAGGATATAAAGAGTGGCCGATCTCCACTACTTCATGCTGTGGAGAACAATAATTTGGATATGGTGGAGTTGTTGCTACAGGTAAGGATGATTTGCCTTTCTTGAGAAAAATCCTCTTTTAGCCTTAAACTATTTATTTTTTTTAAAGAAACACAAGAAAAATATTTTGACAATTGTTTGATTCCAATAAACAATAGTTTAGTGCAAATTATATGGAAAGATTCAAACCTGGCCACTTTAAGCTCTGTGGACTTCAACTCCCAGAATTCCCTAGCCTGCATGGCCGGCTGGAGAATCCTGGGAGTTGAAGTCCACACAACTTAAAGTAGTCAAATCTGAGGAAACACTGACAAACTTCCACTTCCCCAAACTATCATTTATTTTGTCATCTGGGGTCAATGAATACGATTATCATAAACCATGTAGCAATACCGCCACTCGGTAACCATGACTTTAAATGCGGCTTGTTTGTAATAAACCATTGTTAACATTGACCAAGGTTTTCACACGGTGGCAGAAAAGTTGTAAACCAATCCAGCCTAGAATTGTAAGGACCGGCAAATACGAAATTGATCCCTGAGCAAATATTTTCCGTTCCATAAGTCCCATCTTATCTTTTCATTTCCTCAAATGCCCTGAATTTTTGGCAAGCGTGCATGCAGACTTTCTGCGACCTCGGTGGTTGCGCATCCTTAAAGTGTTGTGTGTGTGTGTGTGTTGTGCCCGTTTTACAGCATGGCGCCAATGTGAATGCCCAATCCTACGGGGGCAATACAGCCCTCCACACAGCTAGCGGAAGGGGCCTGTTGGACATGCTGCGGCTTCTGGTGAGGAACGGGGCGGACGGCAGCCTGAAAAATTACCACAACGACACTGCCTTGACGATAGCAAAGAACAAAAGGGTGAGATGATACTACGGAGTGAATTTGTGTACGTCTGACTAAGAACTACAGTACAGGTGGTCCTCGACTTACAACAGTTCACTTAGTGACCGTTCAACGTTACGACGCCACTGGAAAAAGGGACTTACGACCATTTTTTCACACTTACGGCTGATCCGCGTCCCACGCCCGTGGTCCCATGCCCGAAATTCAGAAGGTTGGCAAAACTGACTCAACTTGACAACGATTGCAGATTCCCAGGGTCTCATGATCTGCTTTTGCGACCTTCTAACATAGTCAACAGGGAAGCCAGGTTCATTTAACAACTGTGTTACTCACTTAACGACTGCAGTGATTCACTTTAACAACTGTGGCCGGAAAGGGCCCGCGTGAAGGCTCGGGGAGAGTGAAAAACGGGCCTCCCAGAGGCTCCAGAAGGCCGGAAACGGGACCCATTTTTGGCCTCCAGAGCTGAAGGGGAGGCCATTTTCACCCTCCCGGAGGCTCGAGAAAACAGCCCCACCTGCCATGGTGCAGGAGGCCAATTAGGCCACGCCCACCATGGCCACACCCACCCAGCAACTGGGTAGAAAATCTGTTGCTAAAATTTTTGAACCTCACCCCAGTCGTGACTGCAGAAGACCATTAGGGGAGCAAGAGGGGAAATATTATCCCAGAAATGTGGACAAAGGGATCGAGAGAGAGACGCAAAGCAATTGCTTTGTAATCTGGGACAAAGGACAGGAAGCAGAAAGCGGTGTTTACAAGGGGAGGGACGTCATTCAAGTCAGACTGGTTAAACCGTTTCCTCAAAGTTAACAACAGGAGGATACAAGAGGCGCATCTTTGGTGTAAATGCAGTGGGGCTTTGGTAGGTGATTTCCCCCACGGATGGTGACCCGGGTTCATTACAGGCGGACTTAACATCCACGATTGAGCCCAACATTTCTGTGCTAAGCGAGACGTTAAGTAAACTTTGCCCATTTTTCTCGCCACAATTGTTAAGTGAAGTACTGCATTTGTTAAATTAGTAACTCGGTTGTTAAGGGAATCTGGCTGCCCCTTCACTTGTCGGAAGGGATCACATGACTCTGGGACATGGCAATCATTACGAATGTGAGCCAGTTGCCAAGTGTCCAAATATTGATCACAGAACTATGGGGATGGTGCCAAAAATGATGTGAAAAATGGTCGCAAGTGTTCTGACCAAGGCTTCCTAGACCGTAACTATGCACGCGCTTATTTTAAAAACAAGTCTTATTTTATTGCAATGCTGGGAATTATTTTCATTCCCAGCCGGTAATTAATCTCAAACAATCCCTCGAGATAAGCACCCACCTTTCTTTTCTGTGAATTGCTGCCGATAACAGAAATGTCCAACAAACTAGGGGAAAAAAACCAATCGAAGTACAAAGAGCTTCAAGAATGAGTCTGAACCGAACGAACGACTTTGCTTCCTGCAAAGGTTTCATCATCTTTGCCTGTCCTTGATCCCTTATGGGAGGGGCCATCACCTCCCAGCCTTACTCCCGAGTCGCCCCTTTTGTTTCAGCTGCTCTCACCTTCTGGCAGCTCTGTGCACACGCACACTGGGAACCAGGCTCCCCTGGGTCCTTGGCCTCACTGCTGCCAGACTCTGGAGGCTCCGGAGTCAGCACCCCACTCCCAGATGGTCCTGGCCCCATCTCTGCATCGGATGCAGGACCCTCATCCGAGTCCTCCCCAGACTCCTGGACTGGTCCCCTTTCTTCTGTTCGATTTCGCTGCCGTCTGCACAGGCTGCCGGCGAACTAAGTCATTTTTTTTCAATGCCGTTGTAACTTGCGGTCACTAAATGAACTGTTGTAAGATGAGGATTTCCTGTTTTGCATGAATCTGGATGGAGGGGGAGAGAAGCGTTTTTAAGCCCTACCCAAATATTGTCCCAACCCTGAGATCCTATGATTTATCTATGAAAAATGATCGATTTGGGATTGCCCAAAAACCCCAATCTTGCTTGAAGCAAACCGTTTCTGCTGAATAGTACCCAGCCCAGAGAGAAAACTACAGGTAGTCCTTGACTTACAACCATTCATTTCATGACCATTCAAACTTACAGCAGCCCTGAAAAAAATGCGACTTACGACCGTTCCTCGCGCTTACTCCTGTCACCGTGTTCCCACAGTCATATTCAGGGGCTTGCCATGTATTTACAACGGTTGTAGCAGCATCTCACGGCACTGTCATTAACCTTTGCGACTTTCCCACCCAGGTCCTGACAAGGAATGTCAGGGGCAGAAGCCTGATTCACTTCATTTAACCGTGACATTCACTTCATAGTTGCAGGGGTTCGCTGAACAACCGTCTCCAAAAATGGCCATATAATCAGGCGTAACTCAATTAAACATCAACTTCCTTAGCAACCAGAAATTCTGGTTCCTGTTCTGGTGGTGAGATGAGGGTTCTCCTCTCCTTACCTTACGACCTTAAATTTTACCTAAATTTAATCAAAATTTAGATCCTTATTACCTGTTGCTAGTTTTCTCATCGCGAATCCTTGGAAAACCGAAAGGTTGAAGGTTATCCACAAATTAACGTCCACTTGTTTATGTGACTGCTTGAGGTTACAACGGGGAATTCACTAGGGGTCCTCATAGTTGAGATTGTTGTAGTTGTCATAACACCCCCACGGTCACAGGATCGCAATTTCGGGCACGCAGCAACCGGTACGCAATGACAACGTTGCCACGTTCGGCCATCACAGAATCGCTTTCTCCGACCTTCCCTGACAGCTTCTGATATGCGAAGTCAGTGGGGAAGCCTGCAGGAGGTTGAAGGCATAGTCAGGTGACCTCAGGCTTAAGGAACCTGTACAGTGGTGGAATTCAAAATAGTTTGCTACTGGTTCTGTGGGCGTGGCTTGGTGGGCGTGGCAGGGGAAGGATACTGCAAAATCCCCATTCCCTCCCCACCTCACTAACCTGCTTTCCAGCTCCGTTGTCCTGTGCAGGCCAACCAAAGAAGACCCAGCCGATCAGCTGGGACTCGGGAGGCAGAGGATAGATGGGGGCGGGGCCAGTGAGAGGTGGTATTTGCCGGTTCTCCAAACTACTCCAAATTTTCACTACCGGTTCTCCAGAACTGGTCAGAACCTGCTGAATACTACCTCTGAACCTGTGGTAATCCGTTCAGTGATGGCAACTGACAGCGGCAGATCCAGTCTTTCGGTAGAAACAGTACAACATGTCACCATCTCCTTCTCTTTTGGATCTCCAGGTGATTGACATCCTGAAAGGAAAAGCTGTCCGGCCTATCCCACACCCCGAAAACAGCCATGATGGATCGTCCCCCACAGTCAGCGCTGGCAGCTCTCCAGGCCTTCGGACCCACAGCCGTAAGTAATTTCTTCCCCAAATAGGCAGCCTGGATTTTGTGCCACGCTTCAACTGCCTCCTTGGCAGTGGTGGGATTCAAAAACTTTTACTACCGGTTCTGTGGACGTGGCATGGCAGGTGTGGCGTGGCTTGGTGGGCGTGGCAGGGGAAGGATACTGCAAAATCCCCTTTCCCTCCCCACCCCACTAACCTGCTTTCCAGCTCCGTTCTCCTGTGAAGGGCAACCAAAGGAGACCCAGCCAATCAACTGGGACTCAATGGGAGGCAGAGAATGGATGGGGGCAGAGCCAGTGAGAAGCAGGGCTTGCTGGTTCTCCGAACTACTCAAAACTTCCGCTACTGGTTTTCCAGAACTGGTCAGAACCTGCTGAATACCACCTCTGGATCACGTTGATGTTCCTCAAAACAGTTTGCTCACAAGAGCAATATGTCTTTTATGCTAGGTCCATAATTAATTCCCATTTAGGCATGGTCATTCCTTCTTCCATCTCAGAGGTGTCCAACCTTGGCAACTTTAAGACCCGTGGACTCCAGTTCCCAGAATTCCCCAGCCGGCTGGGGAATTCTGGGAGTTGAAGTCCACAAGTCTTAAAAGTCACCAAGGTTACTCCACCACAACCCAGCCCATAAAATTTAATACGTGTTGAGTTAATCAATGGATTGCCGTTCTAACGGTGCTTTTATCCCCCTTCAGACGTGCTCCACGCTTCACCTGACTCCTGCTCCACCATCCCCAGCCCTGATCACACGCCAAAGCCTCACATAGCAGGCCACTCGCCCAACACAACCACTCTGAGGCCAGAAAGCATTATCGTGACGAATGGACCTTCAACCTCTGCCCCGTTGCCTGGCGTGGAACTGGACAGAAGTTCCCATTCATCCACCCTAGAGCAGCCGATGGGCTTTCCAAGATCCTCCCAGGTTCTCCACCCCGAGAACATGACCGATCCTGCCTTTCACACTGCCCTGTACCCCTTTTCTCCTTCCAGCCCTCACGTCTCCTCCCATCCTCTCCAGTTGCTTCCGATAGGCCTGAACCATCCGGTAGTATCCATGCCGCCAAGAACCCTGGCCAGTCGGATGTCCATGAGGTACCCAGGGATGGACCAGTCACAAAGACTACTGGACTTGGAAGGCCAGGCGGTTCTTGGCTGCGAAGGGCAGTGGCTCCACAGCAGTGACGGTGGCCCTGGGGCCAGCTGACGAGAGGAAGTCCAGAGGCCTCCAGCAGCTTTGTGGGGCAGGATGATTTCTCAAGGGCCATTTCACAAGGCAGAAGAATGAGTCAAGGCGTTGCTGCCGCCGTGGGTTTCCAGCCTGACATTTCTTCACGTTTGCTGCAGACTTGAAACTACCTTCCTTTTCAAATTGACATGTAGCAGAGCCCAGCACACTGAGAATATTATCCACTGAATATAACTCCGCATTGGCAACAGGGAGGGCATCCGGCCAGTAAAAACTCAGCTCCATTCAGTTGCCCAGAATCTACCCCGCAAGGGATTATGGGGTTGTTAAAAGATGATGATGTAGCAGAGCCCAGCCAGCCTGAGATGACCCTTCAGGCGTCAAAAAAAAAAAAAAAATCAACAGTGACCTTCTTGATCCAGCGATATCTCCCTCTCTCCCAATTTCTTTGAATGTACCTCACACCACTATCTGAGCAGAATCTGGGTTGGACCAATTTGGGGGTGAGTGATGGCTCAGCGGTTAAAGACACAAGAGTTTGTCAGCTGAAAAAAAAACTGAGGGGTTCGAGACCTGCGCTCCATACTACAGGGGTGAGTTCCTGTTCCTTGCTCCAGCTCCTGCCCACCTAGCCGTTCGAAAGCGTGCAAATGCGAGTAGATAAATAGGTACCACTCCGGTGGGAAAATAACAGCCTTCCATGCACCTTTGTCGTTATAGCTATGCTGGCCCCGTGGCCATGGAAAATGTCTTCGGACAATCCTGGTTCGCTCGGCCAAGAAACAGAGCTGGGCACCGTGCCCGAGAGTCAGACACGAAATCTTTACCTTTTGTTCAGGGATCATGTTTTAGCTCCAAGGAAGAGGAGCTGTGAAAACTCAAAATCCAAAGCCCAATCCACTCCTCTAAGCTGAGGGCCGAAGGTGACTTTTTGACACAATGCTGGAAGCGACGCTCGAGTGGGGTAAAAAAAAAGCATCCATTTGAACCAATGGTGTTCTTTGTATTTAATAGGCATTAATTTAACTTGAGTGAAGTTAATATGGTCGCTCTGTGTGTATTTAAGCCTTGTGGCTGTGTATTGTGTTAGGGATTGCAATATGATGATGGCACCTTCTTTGGGGTTTTGGGGGGTCTTGTTTACAGGTTGAATTGTGTGCAGCGACATGTGCAGGTGGGATGAAGGAGGGTTGGAAGCCATGAGGCTCTTCCCCAAGGCACCCCCAAATCGCAGGAGTGTGCACAGGTAGTCCTCGATGTATGACTGCAATTGAGCCCAAAATTTCTGTTGTTGAGCGTCGAGACCGTCGCTCAACAGTGAGTTTTGTCCTCCGCCCCCCATTTTACGATCTTCCTTGCCATCGTTGTTAAGTGAGCTGTTGCAGTTCTTAAATCAGTAACACGGTTGTTAAGTGAATCGGGTTTTCCATGCTGACTTGGTTGGTCGCCAAAGGGGATCATGTGATCCCAGGACTCTGCAACCGTCATAAATATGAGTCAGTTCCGGATTTCAGATGGTGTGATCATGGGGATGCCACAAAGGTCGTAATGGTGAAACACGGTCACATTTTTCAGTGCCGTTTTTAATCTTTGAACGGTCGCTAAACGAACCGTTGTAAGTCGAGGACTGCCTGCCTTTAACACACCGAGTGTTTTTGGGGGATCGAGAGCCAATTCCTCGCCCCAGCATCAACTGGGGCACCTTGATTAAAGACGAGGAAGGGGACCTGATCAAGAAAGGAAGCGAGGCATTTCCCAGAGTAAAAATCCTATTTTCTTTAAACCCCTTTATTTTAATCCCCCCTCTCCCCCCCCCCAATGAGCTGATTCCTTTTCTCCCTCCTTGATCTTATCCACTTTCAACGTGATTTCGACTGGAAACGACCAGCCAGGAGCTGCAGCTGAGGGATCATGAGAGAAAGAAAGACCTCAAAGAGGGTGCAGAGAAGAGCAACGGAAATGATCGGGGGGGTGTGGGGGGGTCAGGATGAATTATATGATGAATAATTGAGGGAATTGGATCTGGGTGGCCTTCAAAAAATTTAGCAAGGGGTTCTCTGCCGTAGCCATGGTGGGTGTGGCCTAGTCGGCCTCCGGCCGTAGCCATGGTGGGTGTGGCCTAGTCGGCCTCCGGCCGTAGCCATGGTGGGTGTGGCCTAGTCGGCCTCC